CTTTTTTTTTTTTTTTTTTGTACTGGGGCTTGAACTCGGGACCTTGCACTTTCGAGGCAGGTGGCAGCACCACTAAGCTAAATCCTCGGCCCAAAATGACTCTTCTCATCAGGCCTCTCATAAAGTTCACGGGTGGTGGTAAGTCAAGGTTTGTGGCTGGAAAGATTGCCCGCTTGTCCCTTACACTCAGAGGCTAGGTGCAAGTCCTCAGCCTGCTGACACCCATGACCTGTAGGGGCCCTGTCCACAGCAGCCTGGGGGAAGAGCAAGAAGGGAATTTAAGAAATTGGGCCCTTCCTTCTTTCTTCACAGCCTGTACAGCCTGTCCCCCTCCCCAAACACAATTTGGAGGGGCCAGGCTGCCACCTGGTGGCCAATTCCGGACAATGTTTTGGAGAGAATCTCCAGTTTCCTGTGGAAGTTACCATCTGCTTTCCAAGCAGGTACCACTATTGCATCCACCACCTTGCTTCACAGAGCAGATGTGTTTCCTTGTCTGAACACCAGAATTCTGGGATAGATTCCCTTGCCTCTCCCATCCCTTTCTTGTGGAGGTTGACCAACTCCCACTTTCCAGCAGAGGAAACAGGCTGAGAGCAAGTCAGAACACTGATGATTGTGGTGTCCCTGGAACTCAACCACCTTCCGCACACAGGTGAGGCTCTAGGGGGACATTTTAGATTTAAACCATAACACAACCCTTCCCTCAGGCTGATGAGTGGGGCCGCCTCAGCAGGTAGGGCCCTGCCCTGCTGACTTCTAGGCATTGCCCAGCTCTGGGCTGGTGCTTTCCAGACCAGTCGGTTTCTGCTGCAGGCCAGGTGGCTCTGCATCCACCTTCAGATGGAGGCCCAGCTCCAAATCCCAGGCTCTGACTTATTGGGAACACCTGAGCCCTGACAGAGTGGGTCAGAGAACCATGCCCAAGTGTGGGATGCAGGCAGGAACCCAGAGTGCGGCTGCCTGGAGTCCTGGTTCCATGCTCTGGGTCAACCTTCCCAGCCATACAGAGATGGCTTGTCTCCTAGGCTAAATGGGAACATCATGTCAGTGATCACTGAGATGGCTACTGTTGTAGTGCTATTGGAACCTGTCCCAACTCACAGGGGACTTCACTGTCATTCTGCTCTCAAACCCCAGGGTAGCCTGGAGAATGTATGCAGTGCACGTGTGTGTTTCTGTGTGTGTATTTGCAACCCACAACTCCTACTGCAGCTCTTCATCTTCGGCCTGCTTGTCAGCGTCCCAGCCCCCAGCTCTGGGCCATGGCATTGTACCAGGAACTCTAATGGACGTATTCTGGAGCCGGGGATTTAGTTCAGTGGCAACGTGCCTACCCTGCAAGCACAAGGTCCTGAGTTCGATCTTTGGTACCAACCAACCAACCAACAAAAAAAGGATAAAGGACATATTCCTGGCAGTCCCATTTGCAATCACAGAACCACCATGGAGGTGCAGGCCAGGAAGCAGGGCCTGTGGCTGCTCCCATCCAGAGCCTTCATCATGCACGTGCTGGTTGGTTCTTACAACAGCTTCAAAGTATGGCTCCTCCCCGCTCTCCCCTTCCCTTTTCTTCCCCTTCCCATCCACCTGTCCCTCCCTCTCCCTCTCTCCCTCTCCTCCACCATCATGTGGCCAGCTGAGTTTTTGGCACTAGGGTATGCAGCGGGGCTGCACCGAGGCCTACCCAGATCCCCTGGCATCTGTGTCCCTGTGAATAAAGACATACCATTGTGGAGACTTTTGACCACCAACAACCCATATAAGATTCAAACCACAAAATCCAAGGCTTAAAAGTGCCATTAGTGAGGCTGGGTGTAGCTCAGTGGTAGGGCACTGCCCAGCATGCAGGAGACCTTGGGTTTATCCCCAGCACCATAGGAAAAAATATTGTTGGTGAGGTCCCATACCATATACACACAGCCAGGATCCTCGAGGGTCCTCACCTCCAGTACACAGGGCAGACCCAGCACATAGAGCTCTTAATATACAGCCATTGTCCCTGGTACCCTTTCACCTGCCAGTTGGGTCACAACCTACCCACAGCTGTGTACCTGGGGGTTTAGGCACAAATGCTGTGGATACAATGTATCCTGAAACAACTCCAGGGCACCTGCCACAGGGTCCCCATCTGTCCACTGACCTGGATGTGGCGTGTGTAGATCCTAGTTCGGCTAATTCACCTTTAGACCCAGCCACCCAATCTCACCAAGCCTGCAGTCCCTCAGTGGGAGGTGTGGACCACAGCACTTGTCACAGACGCTGCCACTGGGCTGTCACTGATACAAGCACTCCCCCACTTCTGGGCCCTTTCTTTGATGCTTCAACTGCTGGTTCAGCATTGTGTCTGGATTGGAAGGCTTAGTCCTGGCTGCTCTGCTGCTGCAGTGATCTGTGGCCAAGGGTCAGAAGCAGAGAGAAGAGGGATGAAGGGTAAGACAGCACTTTCCAAAGGATGAGGAGGCAGATAGCACCCTGGACACACCACATGGTCCCTAGACAAAAAGCATGCCCAGGACACTGGGCACAAGAGCTCTGCTTACCTGCGGGGTTTCTTTGGAACAGGATCTCACCTTCTAGCACAGACTGGCTTCAATCTCATAGTGATCTGCTGCTGTAATTATAGGCATATATCACCACGCCTGGCTCATTAGCAGGTCTGAGCTGCTTTTCCAACACATGCACATAGAATCCTGGTACTCAGCAGCAAGGCCCTTCCAGGGATGGGTCCATGACCATGGCATGAATGCGGAGAGGTAGACAGGAGTTAAGGACCAGCCCAGGCTAGGAAGTGAACAACTTATCACGGAGCAAGGAAGCAGCGAGGGAGCCTGTGCCTATTCCGCTAGGGCTTTGCCACTTGACAGAAGCGCAGCTGCTGCCTCCCACCTCTGCTGGGTTTGTACCAGGGAGCAGCTGCCTGAGCACAGAGACCCAGTCACCAAGGCAGAGGATGGGCGTGACATGCTTATCTGGTGCCCCACGGAAGGAACACATGATCGTAAGGGCCAGTGATGTAATAAAAGCTTTTAAAAAGTTGGCCAATGAGTCCATCTGTCTTTCTGAGGGGACAGGACACCCACTGACCCCCCTTACGTGTGTGCAGTGCTTCTATCTACCATGTGGGGGGCCTCCAACGTCTCAGGGAACCCTGCCCTGGGTCCCCGGCAGAAAGGTGAGAACGAGGACCCAGCAGGAGGGCTCTGGGCTGACTGCAGGACACTAGTATTTGTCTTTGCACGTGGATGTCTGAAGATGAGGAAGACCTAGGAGTCTGAAAGTGTGGCCTTGACAAAGTCCCGTCAGCATGTCTCTGAGCCCTCTCCTCCACAGAGCAGGAACAGCACCATTTCAAGGGCCTTTATGAGGAAGGACATCGACAAGGATGGTAGTGATATGTCCTTGACATACATCAAGTCTACATTACCACTCTGGGGTCAAGGATTTTTCATGGATTTTGTTAAGGGCCATCGAACAGGATCTGACCTTTGCTGGAGAACCTGGGACACTGTGTCCAGGAAGGATAAAGCTGCAGCCCTCAGATGGGGTCTTGGGGCTCAGGGACTAGAGGACTCTGAGCAAAGTTGTTCGTGGGTCCTTCTGGAGGCGGCTTGTGCTTTGCCTGCCCTAGCCAGACACCCAGGCTCAGAGACGACACATCGTTGAGAGGTCAGTGTGCTCTGGGCACAGGTGTGTCCATCCACGAAGTGAGGGTACAGTGGGTAGCAATGGCATCAGAGAGCCTCCCAAAGCCCATCCACAGCTCACAGAGCCAATGGACAGACAGGGAACAGAGGAGGGGGGGGAGAAAGAAAGAAAGAGAGAGAGAGGGAGGGAGGGAGGGAGGAGGGAAGGAAGGAGGGAAGGGAACTCAAGAAAGAGGAAACTCACACACACTTTGGCTCTTTTCCACTCTACTTCCCAGCTGCCAGGAGGGGAGCAGCTTTTCTCTGCCATGCCCCCTGCCGTGACGTTCTTCCCTACCTGAGGCAGAGCTGACCTCAGCAGGGACAGAACCAAGCTTGGCTCTCCCGTCTGGAGGTGGGTTTACCAAGAGGATTTAAAAAAACATACACTTTCCATGCATGGAAGAAAACGACCTCCACTTCAATCAGGTGAAAATGGACAAGAGGATGGTAAATTCTGGGGTCCTGGTGCAGGTGCCCAGTTGCTGTGGCACCTACCCTTCCCAGGACTCTGAGGACAGCGGTGACCATGCTGGCAGCGCGCAGCACAGACAGGCCTCACCTTGCCCACCCTGCACAGCCTGCACAGGGGCTGTTCCTGGAGCTGGGCCTCAGGCCCTCCACCAGCTCCCAGGTCCTGGCCTCCCCAGCACATGTCCTCATCCCACCAGACACCCTGGGATTGCCAGGTGGTGGGATTGGTTCTGAAGCATCTTCACCCCAGCGGTTATCTCTGCTCCTTTACACTAATTATGCTGCTCCCGGTGGCTGCCTGCCCTGAGGCAAGTGATTCCAGTTGAACAGAGAACAAATGTAGCAGCTGTAGGGTTGTTTCTAAAGCGCTTTAAGACTCTGCAGCAGCACTCAGTTTTAAAGGAGAGGTTTCAGAAGAGTCCAGTCTCCAGAAGGATTCAGAACATAACTTTTTTGCCGTAGCTTTGTGGGACCAGATGGAGGAGTCAGGCCGGCCCCACACCTGATGGACTCATGGACTATGAGTGCAGCAAGACTCAGGGAGAAAACAGGCTTGAGGCAAGGATGGGATGCCTCTGAGTGGGGGTCAGGGCCAGGCCGCCCCACTCCTGTCCTGGGTGGCTCCCGACGTGTGTGGACAGAGGGGCCTCGTACCTCCAACTTGCCTAGGGGTCCCCAGAACAAGGGTGAGAACCATCAGACCAGATGCAGGTCCCTGCTGTGTCCTCTGTATGAAGTCCACCCCTGGGCCTGGTTGCTCCTCTGTAGGAGGAAGGGGAAACTCAGACAGAGCTGCAGAAGCCCCAGCAGGACTGTTTCTGCCATCCTGGCACAGGTCCCAAGGTAGAAATGAGCCATGTTGCTTTTCACTTCCTCAGTTATCATCATCAGTTTTCAGGGCAGCATTGGGTTGGTCTCAGTCACCACCATGTGCTTGGATTGAGCACGAGTCCCAACACATAGGTGCAAGAAACCGCCTCCTACCACTCTGAGGGCTAAGCTTAGGGGCAGGTGCCATCACCTTCACAGCCACAGCCAGAGGGGTCACAGCTGCGCACTTCCAGGATCGCTGTAAATGCAGACATGCAGCCAGCAGGGGTAAAGTGGGAAAAGTGTGTCGAGGTGAAGGGCTGGCCCTGAAGGGAGGAAGAGAACAAAGTCCAGCCACCGGCAGCCATAAGCAGGTGACTCATTCATCTCACATGTCACACATGCTCTTGGCCCTCGCAAAGAGGACTCCTGGACATGACCTCAGTCAACAGCTGCTTTCTCCTCTCAGAGCAGCAGGACCTGAAGAGCAGCTGGGGAGCCAGCAACCCACAGGCTGCCTTCCTCCGGGGTCCCAGGCCAGGGTAGCCAGGATTCTTCTGGACACGGCATGGCCTCGGGATCCCTTGCTGCAAGCCCAACACATCCCTAAGCACAATGACAGCAGAGCTGTCCCCTGGCACAGGAGATAAAGTGTGCGGCAGGTGGTGACGATGCTATGGAGAGCTGTCTGGCTAACCTGAGCTCGAGCGGTGGGACCTGGTGAGGGGCTTCCTCCCCAAGCCAGAGCAATGGAGCCTAGGGGAAACCCTTCATCCATAAGCTAGCTTGACAGAGCCCTTCTTTCCCAAGCTGAGGCAACAGAGCCTAGAGAAGGCCTCCTTCCCCAAGCTGGGGTGAGAGCCCAGGGGGCTCCCTCCTTGAGTTGAAGCAACAAAGCTCAGGAGAACCTCACCCCTCTGAACAGGGTCAACAGAGCCCAGAGGGACCCTTCCTCCCTGAGGTGAGGTGATAGTGCTCAAATTGGTGAGAACCTGAAAGCTCAGCCAACCCTGAGCCATGGGATTCTACCTACCTGGTCTTACTCCCTAAGTAGCCCAAAGAGTTCCAGTCATAAGCAGCAAAAAGTCCTGCCAGGAGGGCCCAGAGGTGAGACAAATTAGGAGTGTGGGTGACTCATGTTCTCTTCAAGGGCAATGGCCCCCAAACCTCTCAAGAGCACAGCAAAGAAATGGCTGGCTCAGGTTATCTTTTTAGTTGCTCAAAGGAATAAAAGTCAGGGCTCTGGGTTTCGTCTGGAAAGGAGCAGAAGCCAGGAAGCCCTGGGGAAGGTGGGGAGGGGGCCCGGCCAGGGCAGGCAGACACAGAAGACCACAGGGCTGCCTACTCTGCCACATGGGGCCATCCTGCCTTGGCCTTCACTGACATAGGCACTGCACAGGCACAGCGCAAGGTGGCGGGGCACCCTACAGCCCTTCTTGTCAGTACACAAGACCTCAGACACTCGGTTCCTGAGGGGGGCCTACACCAGAGGGTCTTGAGGTGGAAGGCAGAGGAGGCCATAAGTGAACAGCATTTATTTTTCATGCATTCAACAAACACTCAGCCTGCTGGCTCTGTTGGGCCCTGAGCAAGGGCCCAGAAATGGAGCAGAGATACCTTGGAGCTGGTCACAGGCAGGGCCAGTGTTGTCCCCCAGCTCAGGGCCGGGTGGCTGGAACCTGAGTGTTTGCTGAATACAAGACAGGTTATTTGGGGAGCCCAGACAGGCTGAACAAGTAGGATGGGTACTGTGGTAGAAGAGTAAGGGCCTCGGGCCCACCAGGAAGCACCTCGGCTGTCACATTCCTGGTGCTTCTTGCTGACAGCTGCAGACCTGGAGAGCAGGGGGCCCTGACAGCTCAGGGATGTCCCCCAGTGAGTGTGCAGGGGTGCTGGCTCAACAACTCCCTGGCGGGAGCACCAGAGCCCCAGAGAGCTTGGGGCTACTGTCTGAGGTCAGTCCAAACCTCCTGGGTGCATATGTCTCTGTCCAGGCATCTAGGGGCCCAGCTCTACCCCAAGAGCAGGTTAAGACCTGGCAGGGGCTGGGGTAGAGATGTGCAGCAGGAGGTGGTCTTGGCCCATGCATGTGGAGGGAACCACAGGTCCACAGGCCCTGAGCAGGAGCCCTGAAGTCAGTCAAGGAGAGTCTCGGTGCAGCAGTCAACGGGCCCGCTTGCTGTCCAGAATGGCCTTCCAGTCATCTGCCCATGAGTGCAGCCGGCGGCGGGAAGGAGGCATCCACACATGCTGGTTGTGGCAGGATGTGAAGAGGACGTGCTCCCAGCTGGGGTGTGGCTCAGCCCCTGCAGCAGGAAAGCAGCACTTCAGTCCAGAGGCCTTGAGCCCAGGGCACAGGTATTGTGCCTCGCTGGACTATTTCCTTATCTAGAAAGCTGTGGTGCCTTTCACAGGGCGTGAAGATTAGATGAGGCACTGCACAGCCAGTACTGGATGCAGCACAAAGTATGTACTTAGCTCTGACGGCGGGGTCCTTACCATCCCTACAGCTGGAACGTCCGAAGTGAGCCACATGCCTGGCCTCCCAGCACTGCTCCAGGCAGGAACACCAGATCCTACCAGCCGTGCAGCTCACCGGCTTTGACACAGGTTCCCTGGGCCCTCTAAGCTTCAATCCCTCCTGTCCCCACTGGCACTGCTGGTGGGTTCCTCCACACCAGCTCCTCCCTGCTTCCTATGGTTGGAGACAGGAGCCCACCAGGCCCCATGGGCAACTGTGGCCCTGGGAGACTATGGGATTTGGGAGGGTCTGGCCCTGCCCCTGAGCATATCTATGGGCCCTCTGTGTGAACCCCATCCTCCGGATACAGAGGATATAGAGAAGTATTCTGTATTTTCCCATTGGGGTGTCCAAAAGAATAGACTAACCTGAACACTCCAGGAGGAGACAGCTGCCTGCAGATGCTATAAAACCAGGCAAGGGCCAGGAGTGCGACAAGGAACCTGGGTGCGGACATTGATTCTACTGTGCCTGAAGCTCTCCTACCCCACTCCCTCAATTAGATGATGCCTCCTTCTCCTTTCTTTTTTTCTTTCCTTTTTTTTTTTTTTTTT